GGCAATTTATAAGGATGTGCCATGGAAAGAACATTCCAAGCAGAGGGAGCCTTAAGAGGAAAGTCTCTGCTTGGCGTATCTGAGACAGAGCCAGGAGCCCTGTGTGGCTAGAATGATGTGCTCAAGGGAGAAGGGGTGAGAAAGAGGATGGGGCCAGATCCTGTAGGGTTCTCAAGACCTTCAAAGGATTTTGGCTTTTAGTCTGAGTGAAGTGGGGAGCCATTGAGGAGGGACATGATCTGACCTAGAGTATCACTCTGCACACCTAGAATAGACTCTACCAGGCACAGCGGAAGCAGAGAGACCAGCTGAGGGACTTTGCAATAATCCAGGGTCAAGTGGTGGTGGCTCCAGCACATGACCAGTGTTCATAGACACCTGCCTCCTCCACAGACCACACTCTAGGCAAGGGCAGCCCTGTGTATGGACCTCTGGGATTCAGAGTCTTGCTGCCACTCTTCCAGTCCTGACTGAGGAGAGAGCCAAAGACAGACCTGGGGGGGAAAAAGCCTTAAAGAGGTGCACATTTTGACTTGAGGAACACCATCTGCTGAATGTAAGGACAAACATTAGAAGTCGTCCCTGTCTCTCTGAGGTTCCTAACGGAAATTGCTATCTGAAGTGCCCTACCGAATCCCTTTCTCTCCCCGCCTCCTCTCCCTGTCTGGTAATCAAATGTTTGCCAAGAGAATTATGCAACAAAATACAATATACTCTTTGAAAACTTTATCCCTCCCTGTTTGCTTCTGAAGAAAGCCATTGCACACATCTGCCTTACCGAGTCTATTCGTAGGCAGTAATCACTTGGGCATTATAAATTAAATTAAAAAAAAAAAAAACCAACAACCTGGCTCCATTCCTATCTGGTTTGTGCCTCATAGTTTCTTTGTCAGTAGTAAACACGCTGCTTAGCTGAGGAAGGGAATCTTTTACTCCAAACCCTAACCAGACCTCAATAGTTTAAACCAAAGTTAGATCCTAAAGAAGAGGAAAAAATTACACCATCACGTGGTATCTTTTTCATATGAAAGTTCTTCTAAAATGGATCGACCAGCCAAACAGTTTAGTATTTCAGCGGGGGAAAAAAAAGACAAAGAGCCATTCTAGATAAGGGGGGAGGAGACAGTACTGACTATAGGTTGTTGGCAGGCTGCCAGGCTGTACACATTTTTACATTTTTAAACAGTACTTACCCAATGTTCTCCTAAATCCCATTAAATGAAAACTTTCTCTGATTTTAAAATTAAATTTCCTGTATTTCCTGATGGGCTTCCAAGTTCTTCTTTTTCCCTCCTCCTCTCTGAGTCCCATGGTACTTCTACAAGAAGAGAGGTATTAGCCTCCTGGAGAGACTCCAGTTGGCATAACTGCCCTCAGCCTCACTTTACCCCCTTGGGATTTTCCATTGGGCATAGATTGTTTCCTTACTTCCTGTCCTGAAGTAGTGGAAGGACTGCCCTAAAGCCTGTAGCTTACGGCTATGACCCATCCCCTCACCACATGGGGGCATGCTTCATTTACTCTTCCAGAATCCAAGCATTGTACACCAAACACCTTTAATTACTTACCCCAAACATAAGTAGATTTTGAGTACTCAAGTTCACCATGCACATATTTATTTATAAACTACGTCCTTGCACTACTATACAAATACACTGCATAATTTCTAAAAATACAACAAAAATAAGAATTCAATAAGTATCTTAATAGTATATGTTTTAATAATGAAACAAAATAATTGAATTATCATTAATAATATTTTATGACAAGCAGAAAGACTGAGTGTTTGGCATGACTTTTGGAAATCTTGGGGATACCAGAACTCAAGGATGTGTTTTTCAGATCTCTGTATTTGAGTACTTAATTTTATGGGCATTCAGAGCTGAAACAGATGTCTACCACAGGTATATATACCCCAGTGGGAAAAAATACCCACGTCATTGGCTATATGTACATTGCCATGCTTATTTGTTAAATGTTAATTATGCAAAAGTTTTGGTGGAAATTCAGCTGGTAAGTTTCTGTCTTCCCTTATGCCACTCATTTTTGTTTGTAAACTAATTGGAAGATGCTATATTTTTATGTTTCACAAATGGGTTAAAATCCCACTGGAATTCTAGACATTCAAACAGGTTAGAAAAGTCTGCTTCTGTGTTTTTTTAATACACAGATATTAAAAGTTTTTGTAGACAAAACATGTAATCATTTTGGGGGACAAAAGCACACAAAGCACAATCTAGTTTCAAAATTGCATCTTTAAAATTCTTTCTCCATAGAAAGATTTTATTTGGGGAAAAAAAAAAGCTATTTCTTATTTATTTTTAAAACCTCACATGTATGTGAAGGGACAGATTAAGTATATTTTCAAAAATACCTTTAGGTAGCATTCTAAGAAGGACGACTTGATACCAACTTGAAATACTTGCGATTTTGTAAAAAAAAAATTAAAATTAGCAACTTATCTTTAAGTTTGATAACTCAAAAAATTTGTAATAAGATCATTGTTGAAACTCTGTGCAGTGCAAAATATGGCCACTCACCACCTCAATACAAAATGATAAATTTCTAGTGTGTGGTATTCATCAAGGTTTTCCAGAGAAACATAACCAATAAAGTATATTTAAAGAGAGATTTATTTTAAGGAATTGGCTCACACAATTGTGGGGGTTGGCAAGTTCAAACTTCATAGAACAGGCCAGCAGTCTGGAAATTCAGATAAGGGTTCATGTTGCAGTGTGGAGTCAGAATTCTCCAGGCCATCATGTTGGAAACCCCATGCAGGTTTCTAAGTTGCAGTTGAGGAAAACTCCTTTGGAAAACCTCAGTCTTTGTTCTAATTTAAGGCCTTCTACTGATCAGATAGGGCCCACCCACATTATGGGAGGGGTAATCTGCTTTAATTCAAAGTCTCCTGATTGAAATTTGAATCACATCTACAAAACTCCCCGCACAGCAACATCTAAACTGGTGGCTGAACAAACAACAGGGCACCAGAGCCTAGCCAAGTTGACACAGAAAACTAATCATCACATGTGTACAGGTCTTTTTTTTAATAAATGCATGTATGTGTACATAGAGTTTTATAAAGTGAAATACTCTGATGCAACCCTTCACATTAAAGTACATTCTGTGGCAATACACCGGAAACAACTAAAGCCAGCGTTGTCAAGAACGCCTGCACCGAGGAATTCCCAGTCTCACTTGGGGCACCGCGACTGCAGTGATAACCCATGTACTAAATGTAAGTAATGTTTACTTTCCTTTTCAATTTTTTTAGATCAAAAAATGTAAACAAAAATTGAAATATTTTCTGACCACCTGTCCATCTGGAATCCATCGGTCTAAGGCATTATTAGGAAACTAGGAGGAAGACGGTCTCTGAGCAATGACTTCAAACATTAAAGCACTAAAAAATCACCGAAAAAGGTGTTAATAGGGGCGCCTGGGGGACTCAGTCCATTAAACGTCTGTCTTCAGCTCAGGTCATGATCCCAGGGTCCTGGGATCAAGTCCCCGCATCGGGCTCCCTGCTCAGCAGGAAGCCTGCTTCTCCCTCTGCCTGCCTCTCCCCCTGATCGTGCTCTTTCTCTCTCTCTCTCTCAAATAAATAAATAAAATCTTTAAAATTAAAAAATAGGGGCGCCTGGGTGGCTCAGTCGGTTAAGTGTCTGCCTTCGGCTCAGGTCATGATCCCGGGGTCCTGGGATCGAGCCCCACGTCGGGCTCCCCCCTGCTCAGTGGAGAGTCTGCTTCTCCCTCTCTCTCTGCCTACTTGTGCTCTCTCTCTATCTCTCTGTCAAATAAATAAATAAAATCTTTAAAAAATAAAAAATAAAAATAAAAAATAAGTAAAAAGGTGTTAATAATATATATTTCTAGATAAAAGCCACTGAAACCAGGACTCCGTGGGAGCAGGGTCCAGCCCAGGGATCAATGTTTTCACCCTCAGCCTGGGCATTCTGACACAGGTGTTTGTTGCAAGCATCACCCCAGCCCACCTTGTCACAGCCCAAGCACTGGGCAAGCCCTGGCTGAGCGTCCACTAAGGAGCTGGCACTGTGCCAAAAACAAGAATGCATTCCTTCCTCCCCAAAGGCACAGATCGGGACTGATCTCAAAGAATTAAATTTTCTAGATTCTTGTCTTTTTACAAGTACAAGCCATTATTATGAAAAACCAGTAAATAATCTTTGGTCTGTAAGTCTGTAAGGAAGCAATTGTTTAGTAAAAATGTTGTTCACTTGCACACACTTAGATGGCAGGTGGGAGAAACCGCCCTGACCAAGGGCAGAAAACCAGACTTCCAGCCGTAGCTCTGCCTCTAACTAACAATATGACCTGAGGCAAGTTATTAGATCTTTTTATATTTCCGTTTCTCTAAATATAAAGGGAGGGGGTTGGACTAGATGATGTGTATAGTCTCTTCCAGATCAAACATTGTATGATTCTGCCTGCACCTGGGAAATCAGCATAGGTCTTTCTTCTTAACAAAAGCAGGATGCATTTCCAAATAATAATAATAATAAAAAAATAGATATCTTCACTTGAAATTTGTAGTCTTCCTTCATTCACTCAATTACATTTCATCTGGTTGATATAAAATGAACCAGTCTAGTGATATAGGCCTGGCATATTTTCTCTGTTCTCCAGAGATCAACCATGTGTCAACCAAGTAGAAGAAGAATAAAGTGGAAAAGTAAAACAACCCAGGCGCCTGGGTGGCTCAGTCGTTAAGCGACTGCCTTCAGCTCGGGTCATGATCCCAGGGTGATGGGATAGAGCCCCACATCGGGCTCCCTGCTCTGCAGGAAGCCTGCTTCTCCCTCTCCCTGCTTGTGTTCCCTCTCTCGCTGTGTCTCTCTCTGCCAAATAAATAAAACCTTTAAAAAAAAAAGAAAAGAAAAGAAAAATAAAACAACGCAAGACCAATCTAATTCGCGACCTAAGGCAGATGCGGTTTGCTCTCAGTCTGCCCCATGCCAAAACAAATGAACTTTATCAAATTCACGGAGGATGAATAACCACCCAAACCATCAACATCCGAGAAATAAAGCAAGCCACCTCATACATTTATTTTTAATTAAAAAAATAATTTTTCACTAATGGGTTCATTTGTACAATATGCACATGCATTTGAACCTTTCTGCTATTGCTTGCATGATAATATAAAACTCTCCATATAGATAAGGGTTCATCAGCCAGTCTTTTCATTCACAAGCCACAGCCCAGAGTAAAATTATAAAGTAAGCAATTTGTCTCCAACGCCTCTCTGTTTTTTATGCACTCCAACAGTAATTATTATTATTATTATTATTAAATAAATATAACACGTGTGATAGTCCTTTAGGTTATACAAGACACTTTCACATACATTATTTTACTTGGTCCCCACAACCACCCTGTGAGTTAAGCAGAGGAGATATTATCTCCATGTTACTGAAAGGAAAACCAAGTTGCAGAGAAGTGAAGTAACGTATCCAAAGTTGCTTAGCAAAAAATAGCTACCTGTGACTTGTACCCAGGTTTCCTGACTCCCAAGAATGAATGGAGAAGGTCCCATGATTATGGTGCCCCTGGCTGACTACTGCACTCATCTATCTCCCCTGGCATTTCTCCTGGGTGTGAAACCCTGCCTCCACATCCAGACTCACCTCATCTTTGTCCCGTTCTTTAGGGGCCTTCTTTCTGAGGCCAGATAACTAATAAGTGAACCTTTACTAAAATGTGAATGGACGCCACTGAGTTTGTGTTCTCCTTCTAGATAGCATAGAAATAATATAATAAGAGATGTCTAAAGTCAGAGACTTAACTCAAAGACTGTATTCTAATGGTGGTGAACTATCGAGCCAGGTAGGAGCTAGAAATGTTTTGCATATTTTAGATCAAGACAGATCCTACTATTGTTTGAGTCACAGTCACAAAGGTACATGGCTTGCCCTAAAGTTCTCTCATGAAGGCAGACCTACCAAGAAAACACCAGTACAGATAACATCCCACACCTTTCAAATCCCAGTTGAATGTAAGTCAACAATTATTGAGCACCAACTACTTATGGGCAATGGCCCACATGATATTGAAAGTCAAGTAACTAAAGAGTAAAATCCTTGATCTGCTACCAGGGAGCCCACAAAGAGAGATGAGAAACTACAGGTCTCAAGGGAGAGGCCGATGCTGGAAAAGAAAAAAGTAGCGATGGCATTAAACAGAGAATACCAGAGGAAAGAAGCCTCCTTTCAACAGAATTGACTTGATAAAGTTCTTGTACTTAAACCACCAACTTTGAGCAATGGTAGAACAATTAACTGATGGTTGTAATAAAGCTCCCAATACAAAAAGTAGACCTGATCTAATTACAATAATATATGTAGAAGATGGTCTGTAGAATTTGAACCCCAAAGAAAAGAGATCTAGACTTGGAACAGGACAGACCCAACTCTTTGAAGAATTGATTAAGGATTAAGGGCTTTTGCCAGAGTCACAGGAGAAACGATTAGAAATTTCTATCAATTGTATCTAATGATGTCTGAGTTAAAATACAGTGAACTTTATCTCAGTTCAATTTATCTCAGTTTTCTCTTTAGATGCCTTTATAAGGCCTTGTATTAAAGAAGCTTTTCAAGCAATGTTATTGACACAATCCTGGACTGAGTGAATATTACTGGCTACCATAGTTCCAAGTTAAGACCTAAAAAAAACATAAATGGACACCTCACAAAAGAGAATGTCAAAAAGCCAATAAACATAAGAAAAGATGCTCAACTTTATCAGTCACCGGGAGAAAAAATCTAATTAAGACCGTAGTGAGCTATCATAACACCCTCCCCAAATGGCTAAACTGTAATAGATTGATTACACCAAGGCTCAGCAAGAACATGGAGCAATTGGAACTATTACATTGCTGATGGGAGTGGGAATTGGTACATCTACTTCGGAACAAGGTTCGTAGAACCTACTAGAGCTAAATATACACAATGGCCCTTAACCCAGCAACTCTGTCCTGGATATAGCACTCATGACGACTAAAGCACATACAGGTGTAAGGATATTCATAGCTGCTTTATTTCTAAGAACTAAAGCTGAGAAACAATACAAATGTCCATAAGAAGTAGCAAGTGGTATATTTATACAGTGGAATACTGCTCAGGAATAAAAAGTAACAAATGCCACTGATAAATGGAGCAACATAGATAAATCTCACAGATACAATGTCGAGTGAAAAATGTCAGGCACAAATGGGTGTATACTATATAATCCTATTATATGAAGCTCAAAATAGGCAGCATTAATATATAGTGATAGAAGTCAGGATAGTGGGTGCCTGAGGTGGGTAAGGGGGGTTACTAACTGGCTGGGAGGGGCCCAAGGGAGACTTTTTGGATTCTTATCATGTTCTGAATATCTTTATTTGGATGGTGGGAGAGAGTGATAAAGACAGAGATGCATATATATGTAAAAATTAATCAAGCTATACATTTAAGATCTATGCATTTTTCAGTATGTAAGATGCAAAAAACCAGATGAGAGCACCCTTAACAAAGTGCTTCCCTGGTTGGGTTTTCTTGGTCCAGGTGGATCTCACACCCCTGTCCTCAAAGAGCTCAAATCTAATGATGGTGGGAGGGAATGAGTTAGTTTACTGCTGGACTACATAGGACTGTGATATGTACAAGGGCCACAGAAGAGAGTTATTAACCCTCACTGTGGACACAGGAGAGGTTTCAGAGGAGGTGACATTGCCGCTGGGTCCTGAATGGTGCATAGAACTAACCAGCAGAGAAGGCGAGGATGGGTGGGGGACATTCCAAACAGTGAGTACAACGTAAGTAAAGATGTGGAGATGAAAATATAAATGGCTTCCTCCAAGGGAAAGAAATGTAATGTTGTTATAGTAGAGTGGATTGTAAGGCCAGTCAGAGAGATGTAGTTAGGAGAAAATGTCAATTAGGGACGGACATGATGGGTCTTGAATGCTGTGGTTAGGTATTTGGGACTTGGAGCATGCAGCTAGGAGTTGGTTTATAGACAGAGCATGAAGACAGGGAATACGTGTCGATAAGTCTGAGAAAGGAGGTACCTGGTTTAGCTTTAAACCAGCTAGTTCAACCAAAAATGTCTGCCATCTCTGAACTCAAACAGGTCCCAGAAGTCTGCCCTGAAGCAGGCACGATCTACCTACCCATCCCATCCTTCCATGGCAAGTACTAAGCCCATCTTGAAGCCGGTGTTCTGGGAGCATTGAGTTTGGCTCTGAGAGTGATATCTTTGACTCCAACATATACCCAAGGTTCTGGACCTAAAGAAATGACCCATCAAATACAAAATTAGCCTCATGGGGTTAACATCAGATCTGGTCGAAGCCCCAGTTCCCTGCACTCCCATTAATTATGTCTTAATTATTTCTCCAAAGAGAAAATTGAACAAAGATGCTTTTAGTGATTCAGCCCAGATACTGGAGTTGTTTACATTGAGAAGAAAAGCCTTTGCTAAGACTTTGCTACTACAGTGCATTTTGAGCAATTTCTCTTATTCAAAGTACACTGTATCCAGAGTTTCAGCACATAGTAATTAGCATGCTCTTTAATACATGTTTTATTAAAAAAAAATTCAGAGGAATTTTCTAACATTGGCCAATAAGTCTTTCTTCATAGAAAAAATATGGATTTCCAGCTTTAATAAAGCTCTGAAAATTATTTACTGATATTTGTGGTGACAAAGTTATAATAGTAATTTGTTATTATATAGTCCCTTTCATACCAACATAGTTAAAATGTGCAATATTACTGTGGAATAAATTATGCTCATTTATGAAACATAGACACTTTTATATGAAATATGTCATGGAAACTGTTCGCTGAAAAAAATACATGACATGAAGCTAAGTCTCTGAGAGTTTAAGTCCTGACCCAAGATCAGACAACTATTTAAAAAAAGACCTTGGAGGGGCACGTGGGTGGCTCAGTCAGTTAAGCATCTGACTCTTGGTTTTGGCTCAGGTCATGATCTCAGGGTCATGAGATCAAGCCCCATGTTGGGCTCCATGCTCAGCACAGAGTCGGCTTGAGATTCTCTCTCTCCTTCTCCCTCTGCCTCTCCCGGCTCATGCTCTCTCTTTCTCGTAAATAAATAAATAAATAAAATTAAAAAAAAAAAAAGACCTTGGATTTTTATCCCATATTCCCAATGCTGGCCTGACTCTTACTCCTTCCTGGCCCCACTCCAAAGACAGGTCCCAGAGGTTATCACCACTGGTGTGACCAGTGAGCTTAGGACTAATATTAGTTAATAATGCCTGAGACAAAATTACAAGTCACAAAGGTCATCTTTTGTCTCCCCCTTCCTCTGGGCTCCCTTTTGCCATGCTTCCAGGTATCAGAGCATGTTCTCTCTGGTACCATCCAAAGCCATAGGGAGATCTTATGAAAGCCAAAACCTCACTCAGCGGGGCTAGAGGGGGTTTCTCTGAGATACAGTGAGTACAAGACAGAGCCATGGATGCACAACAGGGCCACCACAGAGTAGAGATTCAGCTGCCCTTCCTCCCACTTGTTTGAAGTCTGTGCCTTCTTCTTCTCTAATGTAGTAATACTTTCCTGGTCTTTGACCTCATCCTATGAATACCTCCATGATAGTACAAATCACCCTATCACTGTTTCCTTGACCATCGTCTCCAAGAGACAAGTCTCTTCCAAAAGAGTTTAAGAGAAACAAACAGAAAACTCTAACTTACTGCCTTTCTACTTTCCAGCTGCTTCTTTCTTCTCAATTATCACCCTCCAGTTAAGAAATACAATCACAGTTGTCCAGGATAAATGTGTTTACATTACATGGGATCCTACTTTATATTCTCTTTAGAAGGCGTGTTGCACAAAGAACACACAGCTTAATGACCCAGAACCACTAAATCAGCAAAGAGAGAGCGAGAGGGGGTGAGAGACGGAGTTGAACAGGGAATGAAGGTAGCAGAGACAGATGGGGAAGAGACAGCAGGTAGGAAGAAATCACTTCTGCGGAGGCCGACCCTGACTTCATCCTGATGCACGAATACACAGGACTACACAGCCCGCCACATAACCCACTCTCACCAAGAATATTAGTGCATAACACAAATTATACTGCAGAATTCCTGGGGGGCAGGGAGTGAGGTGGGGGCGGAAAAGTTTGCAGCATGCCCCCCAAAGCCCACAGCCTCATACGCTCCACAGGCCGCCTCTCCCAAGTCTCTGTGCCCCAGATGTCTTTTCTGGCCCCAGAACCCCAACCGCCACCCCATACCTAGATCTCTTTCCTCCCTTCTAGAGCAACATGGCTTTACCAATATGGGGTACACCATAGGACACAAACACTCAGCAAAGAGCCCTCCAGCACCAAGATCCACCCTCCCTGGAAAGTCAGAGATTATAAAGAGCACTTCCCACCGCCCCCATAACTGATAGACAATAGCTTAAGCAATTAGGGAAGGGAAACAGAAACTGGCATTTTTAAGCACTTCTTACGAACCAGCAATGTGCTAGAGTTTTGACATATGTCTTGCCCAATAGCAACACTTAAGATCCTTACATTTGGTGAAATGGACGCAACAAAGGAAAGAGATTATTCATGTTCTCGTTGCCCAAGCAGGATTTCCAGCTCCACCCCTCTACGAGATGTGCAATGTGCCTAAAATGAGATAGGAAGTAGCATTGATTTAAAGGAGCTGCTGACATGACAGAGAGATCAGGAATGCACCACGGGGTCCAGGCAACTCAGGCCATCTTTCGAGGCTTCAAGATAATTTGGGACCGGCTTCCAATCAGATGTGAAATGTTGCGTAGCAGGAAAGAGGATGGGTGGGGAGCTGGGCAGGAGGGACACGCATATCAGAATCTATCATTTTCCAATGCCAAACAAGGTTCCGTTACTCGCTCCAAATGTCAACTAATTCCTTCCACTTAAAGAAATTCTGTAATCTGCCTGTGACCGTCCTCCACGTCGACATTTGGCAGAGCCCCGGAATCACAGCAGCGCTGGCTGGGTGGGCGGGTGGGGGCTGGGACTCCAGGACCACAGACGGAACGACCTAATTTGCAGAAGGCTTTGGTGGACAGGAATAAAGACCGGTTCTCCAAAGCTGGGATGGGAAGTGCGGCCTCGGAGAGTCAAGGTTATTTTATCAGGAAATAAATCAGAGGCCTGTCCCATGACCACTTTTTTCCAGGCACATCTTGGTGACGAGGAGGGTGTGTGTTCAGACCACAGGAATCTCAAAACCACCCGGCCGCCCCATCAGCTCCCCAGGACACCAGGCACACGGCTGGTGAGAGCCCCCAGAAAAGAGCATTGTGGAGTTTTTGCTTTGTGTCTCTCCGAGCGTGCGTGGTTTCTTTCATTGGCGTTTTCTGTTTGTTTGCTTGCTTGTGTGGACAGCGGTGTGTGGAGGGTCGTGGCGGCCGACCCGCCCTCGGTGTGGAGTGGCTGACAAGAAACCCAGTGTCTGCCTGCCGGGCTCTGCTTCAGGCCCTCGGGGCGCCTGCCAGGCTGGAGGGGCCGGCTGGCGCTTCTGCTGGCCTGCCTCGCAAAGACCGTTCCAGTGGGCACCAGGAAAGCAAGGAGGGGAGGACTTGGGGGCAGGGAGCACGGCAGGAGTCCACCAACCTGTTAAGCAGTCCCAGGGAGGGAGGCAAGTGTCTGTCACAGAAACGTCCACGGAGAGTGCAAATACTAAGGCTCATGACAATACGCAGAGGCTGGGGACGCCATGCTCTGGCTGGCAGGCCCGACACCCTTTCCAGCAACAGAAACACATGTTCTTTTGGCAGGGACGGGGACAGGGGAGTTTGGGGTCCTCGTGGACATCTGTGAAAGGGCAAAAGAGGGGGGAGAAACTCTCCAAGGCAGCTGGACATCGTCCCTCGCTGTGGGCCTGGAGGTGCGTCCTACCTCAAAACCTGAAATAAACTCCAACACCCCACCTTCAGAGAAGGTGGAATTATTTTTAAGAATGCAGGCTTTTGCTCTGAAGCTATTTCAAAAGTCTAAGATGTAATTTAGTTTTGAGGGGGGAAAGCAACAAGAAAGAAAAAGAAGTAGAAACACAGTTATAAAAAAAAACAAAAACAAAAATAAAGTCCTAGAATTAAATTTTGCAACCGAAACACAGGCCTTCAGGTCCCTCATCAATCACAGCTCTGTGTTGCTGTTTTGGTGATTTGGTGATTCAGATTTCTGAATTTTATTTTGAATAGTATAATTTTCAGATTAAGATTTTAAAAGAAGTACAGGCTCAAAGGGAAAGAAAAAAAAACAAGGAAACTGCTCTTTATAACTACTTCATGCAGCTGAGGGCACGGACAGATGTGCCTGAAGGAATGTTTCTTCAAATTGTCCACTATTCCCCTGCCCCTGGCTCTCTACGCTGTGTGAGTTTGTCTTGCTCGAGGAGCTGGGCCTGCATATTATCAGAGAAAACCTCAGCTCTGTGCTTCCGTTCTGGACTCCATTTTCAGAGGCTTAACTCAGGTATAAAATGTGTTTGGGGCTCAAACTTGGCAGAGGACATCTCAAACCAGCAGTTAATTCTCTAATGTGTTTTCAAGGGCAAACATTTTTTAACTTACGTTCTGATCCCAAAGTGCAAGTAAACAGAAGACCATACACTGAAATTATCCATTGAAGGCCCCAGAGCCCGCAGGCCCCGACTAATCAGATCCCAGGGAAGGCAGTAGGTAGAACAATGCTACTTTTTAAATGGGACATCCTTGGTAGGGGAACATTTGCCAAGGGGAGAAGGGAAGCTGGGGTGAGAGTGGTGGGGGAGGGGGGAGCTGTTATGAACATTTCTTATAGTTTCAAGAAGAAACCTGAAAGGGGCACCTGGGTGGCTCAGTCTGTGAAGCGGTTGCCTTCAGCTCAGGTCATGATCCTGGAGTACTGGGATGGAGCCTGGTGTCAGGCTCCCCACTGAGCAGGGGGTCGGCTTCTCCCTCTCCCTCTGCTGCTCCCCCTGCTTGTGCTCTTTCTCTCTCTCAATCTCATAAATAAATAAAATCTTAAAAAAAAATAGAAAAAAGAAAGAAGAAACCTGAAAGATGGAGAAAACCCAGCTTCTTCTTCATTCTTCCTTCCCTAAAACTTGTGTAAGTTATTCTCTTCATGTCTAGAGTGGTCTGATTTTTAAAAGCACAGAATTTGATATCACAATCATTCACCACTCCTCCTTTGGGCATTTTTGCTGGGGCTGGGGTGTCTGAAAGATAAAAGGCAGGGCTTTTGGCTTCAGGGTGTCAGGTGGAGGATAGGGAATAAATAAAAAGATCAATAAAAGGATGTGATGGTGTCAGCCACATACTAAACATACTGGCAATAAGTGCCCTGGCACAGGGAGGTAGAAAGAATGGAAACGGTCTCAAAGGCCAGGCTTGCTAAATGAGGTTGACCAGCATGAGCTTTGGAGCCAAACATCCAGGCTTTAAACTTGACCCCACCTTGGACAATTTCCTTAACCTCTCTGTGTCTCAGTTGCCTCATCTATAAAATGAGGTTAAATATCAAAAATTTAAAAATAGAGCTACCCTATGACCCAGCAATTGCACTTCTGGGTATTTACCCCAAAGACACAGATGTAGTGAAAAGAAGGGCCATATGCACCCCAATGTTCATAGCAGCAATGTCCGCAATAGCCAAACTGTGGAAAGAGCCAAGATGTCCATCGACAGATGAATGGATAAAGAAGATGTGGTATATATATACAATGGAATATTACTCAGCCATCAGAAAGGATGAATACCCAACTTTTACATCAACATGGATGGGACTGGAGGAGATTATGCTAAGTGAAATAAGTCATGCAGAGAAAGTCAATTATCATATGGTTTCACTTATTTGTGGAACACAAAGAATAGCATGGAGGACATTAGGAGAAGGAAGGGAAAAATGGTTTGGGGGGGGAATTGGAGGGAGAGATGAACCATGAGAGACTATGGACTCTGAGACAAACAGGGTTTTAGAGGGGAGGGGGGAGGGGGATGGGTTAGCCTGGTGATGGGTATTAAAGAGGGCACCTACTGAATGGAGCACTGGGTGTTATACACAAACAATGGATCGTGGAACACTACATCAAAAACTAATGATGTATTGTATGGTGACTAACATAACATAATAAATTTTTTTTAAAAAATGAGGTTAAATATAATCCCGGAGTACCTGGGTGGCTCGGTCAGTTAAGCGGCTGACTTCAGCTCAGGTCATGATCTCAGGGTCCTGGGATAGAGCTCCATCCAGGTCAGGCTCCCTGCCCAGCAGGAAGTCAGCTTCTCCCTCTCCCTCTGCAGCCCCCCCACCCCCACCCCGCTCATTCACGTGCACATGCGCAGGCGCGCTCTCTCGCTCTCATAAATAAATAAAATCTTTTTAAAAAACTAAGATAAAAATAAAATAAATATAATCCTGGCCTCAGTGGGCTCAGAAAGAACTTGGAGCCGTGCCTGGCACACAGGAAGTGCGAAATGTGTAAACTGGTATATTATTATAAAGAAGCGCTTGATATTGGAGAAACCAGAAAAGAAGGGACCAGAGGTGAGAGGCGCAGTGGCTGAACTACTCTGCTCTTTCTTTTTCCTTCTTGAGTCTTTGATTACCCCCGACCTATTGCCCACGATTCCTCAAAGAGCACGGGCAGAGCTCCCCGCCTCGCATCTATAGTCCTTATCAGGCACCAGAAAGGACCACTGGAGACAAGCCTTGCTCTCCTCCCTCTGTCTCGCCCTCCTCCATTCAGACCCGCAAGCGGGGGGCAATGATACTTCCCAAACACCTAGCTTCGCTGCTCCCCAGTTTCCAAGCATTATACTTGGTCCAGATTCTTTTGAGTGCAAGCAGCAAAACTCAAACTCAAACCAGCTTTTGCAGAAGGGAGTTGCTGGAGGATGGCGAGGAGCCCCCAGACATGAAGCCTGGGAAGGCGGGGACAGGGGCTGCTCAGGGGGCTCCCAAGCCTCAAGCTGTCAGGATTTTCCTCACTGCTTCTTTCTACTTGTCTCTGCTTGCTGACTTTGTTCCTTTGGTCTGGCTTGCTCAGGAGGCAGGAACCCGGGCCACCAGCAGCTTCTGGCTCACATCTTCCTGTTTTGTCATGAGAGAGAGAAAAGGGCCTTATTCTCTGAGTTTTGAGCTGAAAGAATCCCAGAGAATGACTCTGGTTGGGCTTGGATCTCACAGCCACCCCTGCTAATCCCTGTGGCAGGAAGTGGGGTTGAGATACTGTGGTTGGGCCCGCTGTCTTCTCTAGAACAATTTCTGTGGCCAGGTACATGGAGTCCAAGAAGAATATGCCAGCTCCATCACATTCAGACACGCTGGGGTCAGGAGAGGTGGATGCTCTTCCCCGATACAATGAAGTGCTGTTCTCTACGACGGGTGCCCGGGAGACAAGCGCAAGGGCGTCTCCAATGAAAAGAACGGCCAAGTGGAGATCTGGCAGAACTGGGTGTTATATATTGTTAGCTGCCTTCACAGATTCTTCATCTCTCACCTTTCATTATAAAGCAATCCCATCTTTTTTATTTCATAAAGGCAAAATGCCTTGTGTGGGGACACCACCTCGCACAATTCCAAAAGCCTCCATTCACTTTCCATTCTAGAAGCTGAAATATCAAGTCAGTAGGACCCCCTGGAGATCTCTCCATGCCTTGTAAATGGTAGATACTCAGTGAGTGCTTGCTGCTTGAACGTATGAATGAATGATTATAATGTAATTTTATTTCCCAGATGCAACAGTGCAATTATAGATAGATCAACCGTACACCCATGTTAAAATACCGTAGCCTAAGGCAAGTCATTTAATCAGTTTAAATCCCAGTTTCTCCGTTTTTAAGATACAAAAATACTAATACGTCTCTCAGAGGATTGTCATAAGAGTTAAACAAGATAACAAATATGACAGTGAATACATATTCTTACAACACTCTTTCCCTATTAACTTTGTTCTCTTTGTTTCTGCCTTCGCAGCACCCCAGCCCTTTGAGGGAAAAAAGTAGCATTTTAGTACTAAAAGAGGAATTTCAAATAATTTAGTTCAGTGTTCTCATGTACAAACCACTGACTCCTCATAGGCTGTAGAATGTATTTTCAGGGGCTTTTGAGAACTATGAGAAATTGTAAATTTTGGTCGCTTTCCTTCCAAGAATAATGTTAAAACAAATATAAGCATATTCTGGATAAATTAGATGACCATCTTAATAGCAAATACCGCCACCAACCTCCTACTGGCACTTAGGATTTTGGGGGGATAAATAATTGCCAAACGAGGCTAAACTTAAGTTTGTATTCAAATCTCATAGCAGTTGGATAGATAGATAGATAGACAGACAGACAGATACACATTCAGACGAACACATATACCATTTGTTGAACGTCTACCCTGTGTCCAGCTCTCACCTACACATTAACTCAGTCCTCCCCACAACACTACAGGTAGGCTTATCACCCAGTTTCAGATGTCTGAGGAAATTGAGGCTCAGAGAGTTTATGTGACTTGCCCAGGGTTTTAAAACCAGAGAGTGGGAAGTCAGGACAAGCCTCATCACAGCTGCTGTAAGAAACCTTTCCTCTCCCATTGCACAGGGTCAGCTCTGTGCCCCTTTGAGAGTCCTCCAGCTAGTCCTCTTTCCAAAAGTCTTTTCCTCAGCCTCTCAAAAATCTCATCTAACACAAAGAAGAAACTTCCAGTAAAGAAAAAAGAGAAAAAGAGGTGTGCGCATGTGTGAGTGTATGTGTGTGTATCTCGCTACTGGATGGATGGATGGATGGATGGATGGACAGATGGATGGGAAAGCCAACAGACTTCTCTGGCAGATTACTTTCTACTTTCTCTCTAGGACACCTAATCCAGTAACAAATGTCTTGAATTATCTCTTTGACTTAAAATTACAAAAATGCAGAGACTTCTAAGAACTGGTAACTTCTTAGCAGCCCAAGTACTTTTAAAAAATGCTTCAGAAGGTTGGCAATTACAATACAGAACAAAGCATTTTCAAAGAAAACTAGCATTTCCTAACATACTATACACATAAGCACCATAGCACCAAATGTGCTCATATGTGTTTTCCTGTTTCATCTTTCCATGGAGCGGTGCCACACAGACCCTGTTATCCCTAGATCTCTTATCCCCTTAGTTTCAAACAAGAAAGCTGAGACTCAGAATAAACACCTACCCTAGATTGGATATCTAATATTTGACAAAGGCAGGATTTAAACTGGTTCTGTAGAGCCTACACCCTCTCTTTCTTCTTTCTGTTCTGTTCTTTCTTTTTTGTATGTGTGGTAGCAAACTCTTAACTTCATATCTACTTTTTTTTTTTATTATTTCTCTTAACAAATTTTTCAGTGCACAGTATGGCATCATTTATCATAAGCACGATGTTGCATAGTAGATCTCTAGAACTTACTCGTCTGGCATAACTAACACGTTATCCCCATTGTTTTCTCCCCTCAACTTCTGGTAACCACCAACCCACTCTCTGCTTCTATGAGTTTGGTTATTTCAGATACTTTCATATAAGTGGGACCATGCTGTATTTGTCCTTCTGTGACTGGCTTATTTCACTTAGCAAAATGTCCTCCATGCTAATCCATGTTGTTGGTTATGACAAGGTTTCCTTCTTCTTTTAAGGCTGAATAATACCCCATCATATTAACTTACCACATTTTCTTTATCTAGTCATCTGCTGATGGACATACGGGTTGTACCCACTTCTTAGCTATTGTGAATAATGCTGCAGTGAACACGGGAAGGCAGATATTGCTTTGAGATCCTGATTTCAGTTCTTTTAGAGATATACCCAGGATTGCTAGATCACCTGGTAGTTATATTTTTTTAAATTTTTTGAGGAACCTCCATACTATTTTTCCAAAGTGGCTGCACCATTTTACATTCCCACCAACAGTGTACATTCTAACACCAAATTTTTCTTTCATCTCAATCACCACTTTTGTCTATGGAATTTATATAAAGTTCAGTCCTTTCACAAAGAAAGTCAAAGATGATTCTGCATCAAGACCACTAAAGAAGATGATAATTCACATGGCAGCACAGGCAACAGGTGAAGTTCCTACTCTCGGGGAATTTTTATCTTGGGAAAAGATGGACAAATTGATTTTTGAATATTTTCTGATAGCACAATATGGGGAAAAGATACTGGATTAGATCAGCTTGTGGAACTTAAATTCTTAATTTAGAAACTCCTGGTCAAATTTTCCTTTTTGCCCCTCCCTTCCTCCCAACCTTCATCTTTTGATATTCTCCCATTTGTACTCTATGTTCCAACAACTACTTGTATTTCCCCAAACACTCCATGCTGATCTGTGATTCTATGCCTTTCTTTACTCTGTTAATTCTGCCTGGAACAAGTTTTCCACATACCACACAACCTATATTCCCTTGTCCACCTGGAAAACTTCCAGAAAATCCAAGGAGATGAGTCTGGAACTTTCCAGACCCTCCACTCCCCTCCATTGCAGTCATGTTGTCCTCTATACTACCCCTAAGCCTTGAATAGCTTGTGTAGAGCTAATTATGGTATCCTATAATTATTTGTCACACACTTGTCCACTCTGCTGGGTTCTATGAGGACAGATGCAGAATTTACTTTTTTAAAATATCCCCCTGTAGTGTAAGTACCTGACTTAAGCTTTTTGATTGCTGAGGCGTCCATTTCAAAGATACCCATCTTAAAGAAACTTAGTGCCGGGGCGCCTGGGTGGCTCAGTCGTTAGGCGTCTGCCTTCGGCTCAGGTCATGATCTCAGGGTCCTGGAATCGAGTCCCACATCGGGCTCCCTGCTCCGCGGGAAGCCTGCTTCTCCCTCTCCCACTCCCCCTGCTTGTGTTCCCTCTCTCGCTGTGTCTCTCTCTGTCAAATAAATAAATAAAATCTTTAAAAAAAAGAAAAAAAAGAAACTTAGTGCCAGCCATATGACACAGCTACTGGCAAATCAAATAGGTACAAGAAGCAGGCCACCCCCATCCATGAATTCCCCTTTTAGAACACCCTGGAGAAACCTAGGTAACTGACCGCTTGAGTGACCTGGCGTCTCCCTTCTCATTCCCTTAATTCCCACTCTTATGTTTTTAAATTCTCCGATAAAGAATGAACCTGCTAGGGGCACCTGGGTGGCTCAGTTGGTTAAGCAACTGCCTTCGGCTCAAGTCATGATCTCGGGATCCTGAGATGGAGCCCTGTGTCAGGCTCCCTGCTTAGTGGGGAGCCTGCCTCTCCCTCTCCCTCTGCCCCTCCCCCTGCTTATGCTCTCTTCCCCCCCTCCAATAAATAAACAAAATATTAAAAAAAAAAAGAATGAACCTGCTAAACCCTAGACACCCCACACTCAGACACTAATAAAGGCAGAGCCCTAGGTCTACATGCTTTCTCCCTACTCATGACCTTGCTGTGGGGCGCTTTGGCATACCATGTACCCTCCAGAACCTGTGAGTAATAAATCTTGTTCTTCAAAGTTCCCCGAAGGTTGTTGCTGAGGTGTGTCCTACAGTCATGTAATAAGAACCATAAAGGCTGGTCCAGCCCCAACATTGGCTCCAGACATTGGAAAAATGTCTATGGGGGCTTGTCACAAGTAATACAGGCCCAGGTGAGTGCCCCCAGGGTGCTCCCAGCCAATAGCATCACTATTGATAGGCTGAGACCAACACAGCATCCCCACACAATGCCATACCACGAATGATGTTTAACACATGACATTAAATCAAACTGAATTGATTGTGAAACAACTGAGAATGTGTAAACTTGAGACTTTCAAGACTTAAGCTCCTTATAGCGTCTTTCTCATGTCTTTGGTTCTAGTGCTTGTCTCCTATTTGTATTCTGGAGAGCTTCCCTCTGAATAATTTGTCCTTGCAAGTAGTCCTCCCTTCCCAGTCCTGTTCCTTCATTCAACAAGCATTGATTTGATGCCTGTTGTATGCCAGACACAGTGTTAGAGCTACGGATAGAAAGACAGACGAGCCAAAGAACTCTTTGCAATACAGCAAGAACTTTGCAATACAGCAAAGTTTCTAAGGCATGTTGGGAAAAGAAAAAAAAACCTTAAAACACAGTAGAGAGGGGTCGTTACCATGTAAGAGATGCAACAAAGTGCCTTGAGCGGTCAGAGAAGAGGGAAAGCCCCCAGAACGCTGCACCAGGGAACACTATCCAAGGGGAAGGATGCTTGAACGAGGCCATGAGGGGAAGGGTTTCAAAAGCACGTATGCATTCTCTAAATTCCCCCTTAAAACAAGATATTTGCCCACCATTCTTTACAAGTAAAATTGCCCCTTATTTCAGGGAGTTTTTCACCACAGTATTGCTGAGTTTCCTTCCTGTGTCTTCATCAACTGTATTGAAGTCCTGGAAGACATTTTCTGCCAACTTTGACAAATCCATGTAAATAAGCTGGAAGGGCCCTGAGAACAAAAAAAAATGCCATTATTGTGCTACTCTTACTGTTGTTGTTGTGATTAATGATCTTATAATAACACTGCCAGAGAACATAGTCAGAATGAACTAAACCTCGAAACAAATGTTCAGGAAAACAAAAAAGGGTTTTCTCATCATATTCAAGGAAGATAGAGAAACAATGAAGGCTCAAACCTGCCCAATGGGAGAGACAGTGTCATCGGAGAGTAAGAAACATGAAACTCTATGGTTATGGTGTTGCTTTTATCTTCTCTATTTAAAAAGGGGAGGGGGAAGATTGTTAAAAAAGGAAATCACTTTCTGAGTGATTCAAGTCTCCATGCTCCAATGAATTTCATCAGGAAATCAAGAGACCCCTTGAGTGAATGCTACTGGGATTTCTGAGAAAAATGGGAGTGGAACCAAATCATCAGAAATTTGGTACATGTTGTGTTTTTCAAAAACTGAACATCCAAAAGCTCAGCCAAAGCCATGTCAACCAAGCACAATTCAGATCTACCTCAGTGTGTCCAGTGAGGTGGACCTATCAGGAAGGTATACAGAACGAGAGCCTTCCAGAATGGAACTTATTGTAAAGGAAGAAGGATTTGGACTGACAAGCTTGGCCCCATCAAAATGCTCTGATTATTGGAGGGAATGAACAAATGATGTGAATGTGATGTGAATGTGTCACTTAGACTTGTCAGAAAACTGGCAATCTCATATATTTGTGGAGTTTGATCAGGTACCACTACCAGTTTGGAATCTATCTTCCCTTTGGAAGAAGGAGCAGGGTCCAGGGAAAAGGTAGGACTGAGAGATGCTGCTATGTTTTGTTCTGTTGTTATAAATCCACTTTCTGAGCTTTGAATTGGATGCTAGCCAAAAGATAAGGATGGGAACTCTGAACACTGGAGGGAATTAAGAAGGGCTAGTTTTTCTAGCTTCTAAATTTGTCAACAGTGGCAAAAACATTCTAGGGGAATTAATCTATTTCTTATGCTTGTTCTAGATGTGTTTAATTTATTTTTTATCATTTCTCTTCTGATAGAAGAATGCTCTACCTTTACATCTGTAGTGTCTCTCAAAAGCCCATCACTGAGCAGAGACTCTGCTAATTGTTTTAGCGTGCTATGCTGAGGGACATGAACAACTGAGTTATAGGAGTTGTTTTGGTCCTTTTTGGAAACCAGGGTCATTTGGAAGTCTGTCCCCCACCCCCTTCCCTCGTCCTAGAAAGAATAGAAACTCTGTCAATGCTCAACAGCTCTAAGTGGGGCTGATGTTTGTCAGATACACCTTAATGTTATGTCTGTTGTGTTTCTTTAAACCCAATACCTTTAAGTGAATACAGAGAGAAGGTGCTAGCATTTGAGCTTTGCCTATGGGGTTAGACTTAATGACCTTTGAGATTCCTTCCAGTTCTGCAGTTTGTTTATGTTGAGAGTTGTATAACCTCCAATGAGATATAGAGTCATCACAGAAGGATTCGGAACCATTTACAAATTTGTGGTGAAAATGGTAGACCAAAGACTGTAGGCATTCTTATCGGTAATGTGGGAGCAAATAGTTAAACTTTGCCTGAGTTTTTAAGAATGAATGAAGTCTTTAAAATATGCCTTTGAGATGAGGATACCACTTTTAGAAATGTATCCTAAGAAAATATTTAAGAATGGTGGAGTGTTTTCCAATACCGCCATGCAATTGTCCAAGTCTCAGCAGATACTGACTAGATATCCTACAAATTGAACCGAATTCTGACACTATCTGCCTGGAGTTAGCATCAGACTTCACAGGTAAAGGGCTCAGTTCCACAAGACTGTCCCCACCCCCACTTCAGATGCCAATCAAGAGTCCAGGTTTTTACCTGTGTTTCCAACCAACTGGCTATAAAAATCAGAGGTTCCCACAACCCACTCCTCTGATTCAATTAATTTGCCAAAGCCGCTCACACAACTCACACAAAACAGTTTACTTAATAGATTATCAGTTTATAATACAAAAGATACGATAAAGGATGAAGTCTAATAGCCAGATGAAAAGGTACATAGGGGCAAGGTCCCAAAGTTCCCAATGAGCACAGGAGTCTCTATTCCTATGGAACTAGGGTGTGTTACCCTCCTGGCACATGGATGCCCTCACTAACCAAGATGTTCATCAAATATCATTGATCGAGAGTTTTATAGAGTTTAACCTGTAGTCCTCTCAAAAGGACTTTCCCCCCTTACCCTTCCCAGGGGTTGATGGGCAGGGCTGAAAGTTTCAGTTCCAACCTTCTGATTACTTGGTCTTTCTGGTGAAGAACCCCATTATGAAGCTATGTAGGATCCCCACCCCATGTCACTTAATTAGCATAAACTCAGGTGTGCCCCCCGGGGCTCCCTATGAATGGTGAAAGATACTCCAATCACTCAGGAAATTGCAAGGGTTTTAGGAGCCCTATGCCAGGAACCAGGGACGAAGACAAATATAGTCCTTAATGTGCCACAGATCTTTCAAAGAACTTAGGTAAAATGTGTATATGATGTTTTTGTACCTCTGAAACAAATAATACATTACATGTTAAAAAAAAAAAAAGAAGAAGAAGAAGATAGCAGGAGGGGAAGAAAGGGGGGCGTAAATCAGAGGCGGAGATGAACCATGAGAGACTATGGACTCTGAGAAACAAACTGAGGCTTCTAGAGGGGAGGGGAGTGGGGGGATGGGTTAGCTTGGTGATGGATATTGAGGAGGGCACGTTCTGCATGGAGCACTTGGTGTTATACGCAAACAATGAATCATGGAAACTACATCAAAAACTAATGATGTAATGTATGGTGATAAACATAACATAATAATAAAAAAAACTAATGATGTATGGTGATTAACATAACATAATAAAAAATAAATAAAAATAAAAATAAAATAACTTTTAAAAGCAAGAAAATATTTAAGTGCCTAACAGTGGGGGATGGGTTGAGTAAACCGTGGCCCATGTGTGCACTAGATACCACGCAGTCACCAAAAAGGAGGAAGTACAGGGCGCCTGGGTGGCTCAGTTGGTTAAGCGACTGGCTTCGGCTCAGGTCATGATCCTGGAGTCCCTGGATCGAGTCCCGCATCGGGCTCCCTGCTCGGCGGGGAGTCTGCTTCTCCCTCTGACCCTCTTCCTCTTGTGCTCTCTGTCTCTCATTCTCTCTCTCTCAAATAAATAAATAAAATATTAAAAAAAAAATGAGGAAGTATAGTGTATTTATCAAAGTGAAAGAGCAGATTATAAAAACAGTATGACAGTAAGATCCTATGTTTGTTTGCAGCAGACCATATACAGACTGAAAAAAATTCTTGAAGGAACTACACCAAAAAATAAACAATTATACATTATTCCCTCTGATGATGGAGTAAAATATGACTTCTATTTTCCTCTCTTTATATTCCTTTTCTAAATTTCTGCTGTGAGTAAAAGTTTGTATTGCAAAGAAAAGTTTAAAAGACCTAAGTATGTATTAATACGTGTATTGATTTTTGCATTCAATATTATTTACCGAATACCCTTATTCACCAGGCCTTGTGGATACTTGAATTTCTCTCTAAAATTCTTCACTGATTATTTTCTTAGTAATATATAAGCAAAAGGAGCCTAGTACAGCAATTTAAAATCAACAAAAAGGTTGAAAAACTTATGGAAAGTCACACAATGAATTCGAAACAGCCAGCTAGGACTTGTAACCTCAGATTCTTAAAGCTGAACTCCAAAAAACAGATGCTATTCTACTAGTCCTGACTTCTTCTCATTGTTTATTGGGGGCTGAAAGGTACCTGGATGAAGAAAATAATGGCCCCAATACTCTGCAGCTGCCCCCATCAAGAAGCATGGTCTGTTTCTCCACCCTCCAATCTGAGCTGGTGCGTGACTGGATTGTGCCAGTTCCGTCCCCATGCCTCCAAAGACCTTGCGGTTTCCACTCTTTTAGAACCTTTGACCACTGCGTGAGTCAGCCTGGGCTGGCCTGCCCGAGGATGCTTGAGCTCGTGAAGAAAGACTCCAGTCATCCCATCGTCCAGGTGCGGCCATCATAAACCAGTTGGCCCCAGCTGCCCTACCAGCTGACCACAGACACAGGAGCAAGCCCAGCTGAGGTCAGCAAAGGCCCGTCCCAACCATCCAAACCACCCAGAGGAGCTCAATCCCAAATGCCAACCCACCGAACTGCGAGCGAAATAAATGTTTGCTGTTTGAAGCCAGAAAGCTTTGGGGTGGTTTGTCATGCAGCAAAAGCTAACTGATACATCTTGGCTCATCTAATCCCCCTCGTTTTTCAAATGAGGAAACCAGGGAGGTGAACCAAGTACCCCACTTAGTGTCACACTATAAATCACGAACCTGGAAAAGGACCCCATTCTCTTGGCTGCCAGGCCTATGTCTGAGCCACTGGATGCTTCAGAAAGGAAAAGGTTAACAGTGTTCACATACACAGACTGAATTAAAATCTTGGCAAAACCAGTGCAGTGAATGGGCTTCAGGTCATCATGTGTTCCATGTCTTCCTGCCAGCTCAATAGTTTGGCTACAGGAGAAAGGCAAAAATACTGTGTTGTGCTCTCCCCTGGTCTCATCCCAGTCAATTCCAAACACTCGGAGACCACCTGGGAGCTAGGCCCTTGGACACCTCAGAAGTGTCCACTCTCTCTCTTCTCTCCACTTCTTTTCCCTTCTCTCCCTCCCTCACTTTTCCTCCTCTCCCTTCACCTTCTTTTTCTTCCTCAATCTCTCTCTCTCAGAAAGTATGTCCCCTGACGCACCCCCCCTGTCTTTCCCTGACTTCACCCACCTCCTCCGTGCCCGGAAGGGGTCATGATGACAGAAAAACAAATCGAAATCACAGCCTAAGCCAAGCCTCAGCATTGCAAGTCATAGGATGCTCCACTTTGAGGTGCTTGGCCCCAAACCTGAGCCAATTAATCCAGCCACCCCTTGTGTTAATTAGGCCTCATTATTCCCCAGTTACAGCCCGGGAAAACAACCCAGA